ATCTCGCCGGAAGCTGTAGGGGGATTGCCTTGGATTCGTTATTGTAGATTTGTACAAATAGTTTCTCCGCGCTCCGCCCTGCGACCCCTATGATTCCTTGCTGAGCTTTCGTCTGCCATGTGACGGACATCGTTGGAGCAGGACACCATGCTCAACGCTAATTCACCAAAAACACGAAGGCGTGTTTACTCTGACTATTTATGCTACTGCATTAACATCTGTTATTAATCCTAATCGATTCGTTCAGCCAATCTCCTAACCCTCTCACTTCGTTGTGATGGTTATTTATCTTAACCGAGAGTCATTATTAAATCTATGAAATCTTCTTCAATACCATACTTGATTAGAGTGAATGCCAATGAAGAAATCTTCAATAATAAGTATATGTTAAACATCTACTCATAACTCAATATCCTTTTTGGCAACTCTGACTTTGACTTGGGTAAGATCCTTATCCAAAATTTATTTAATAGTTGTATTCATCTATTGAGGGGCTGCTAAGGATAGCTCTCCTGCTTATCAATTTCTTAAGAGCCTGTTTACATAATTATATTATTCTGACCTCACTGAAACTACTGTATTCTAAAGTTGGTTCTGGATAAAATCTGCTTCTATTCTTCATGACTCCACAGTGCTTTTATGGATATTTATTGCTATTAAATGCCCCTGTAATTTTTAAGATCGTGTCCTCCTTATTAGCAGCGAACTCCCATTTAGCTTATAATAAGCTTGTAATAAGATAGCGTTTGGTTTTATCTAGTGCTCCATGTTTGCCGATTTCCACAGTGTTCTCAATATGTAATAATGGCGCTGTCCTTGCATACGCTTAATTATATATTGTTTTGGCATGAAAGTGCCCAATACTGAGCTTCGTAGGTCACTTTTACCAAAAAGACGATAACGGATTCTTTCTTTGCTTTCCATTGATATTACGGTGAATTTCAGGGAAGCCCAATTTTCTTGATTTAGTTAGTAGCCATATGATTGACTTGACAGTAATATTCAACTTTCTCCAAAAATCTATCTTCTTGCTGCTCCAAATTCTAATATGGCGTCCTTAAACTCTTCTCTTTATTTTTATAACTTCTCTATTTACCATTCTTCTTGTTCTTTGTTTATCTGGACAAAAAATAGCTTTCTCTTTTAATGTACTGGCAAGAATTTCTTTGGGAGGATAGATAGGTTTTGTATTTTTAAAATCCTACCATTATATTCTACTATTTTCAATCTAATATAGCGTCAACCCTTTAAATAGGAATAAAAGGTGCTTCCATGACAACTATTTGATTAATCCTTCCATTTCATAATTATAAGTTGAAATATCTTTTGCGTTTTTAATTAACTTTATCATTATTTCGCAAATTGTCTTCATACTTACACTTAAAGCAAGATGCAAGCACCTTTTCTGTCTTATTTAAAGACCTTGATTCTCTTTAATTCTCATTTATTCCAGTATATATACCATATTCCTTTACTAATTAACTATTTAGGACTTAGTCCAAAAGTTCTTGAAGTTTTTTTGCTTTGCATGTTTATTTTAAAGGCAATTAACTACAAAGGATAATCCCCAGTCTTGTCAAAGTACTCCAAGTGTCCCAGTGGCAATATTACTCGTGTTTGCATTTTTCTACTATTGTGCGTCTGCCAATACCTCAACCTTTCATTCTGCAAGATACGCTTTGTGAAACTCCTGAGATTTTAATAAAAGATGGTTGGGTTTTTCCTATGATAGCATTATAAGATGATTCCATTAACATGTATTTTTTCCCCTCTTACGTTCATGCACATTCTATCGTATGCTGAATTTTCCACAGACTTGGAAAACGATCAGCTCTACTAGTCGGCGTTCCCTAACGCGATCTGGCAAGTCTTCCTTTCCGACGTTGGAAGAAGCAAAGACACGACCATCTGACCTGCGCCTTTTGCGGCAATCAGGACATACTACTTCTATTGGTAGTTTGGACCAGCAGCCGATCTCTTCGCCTGCGCCATCCAGGCTGTTACCCGCATCCCCAAAATCTGTTCGGCCTTCAGCTACATCCTGTCCAATTTCTGCCTCTTCTCCCACAACTAATGGCATTCTGCTTCGCTCTCGCCTCCCTCGAGAAAAGATGTTGACTACCTCAACTCCAAACTCAGTTCCTGCCAAAGGCATCGATCAAGATAGGATTGGTATTCGTACGCGTCGCTCCAACCTCTCCTACTCTTCTTCATCTTCAACATCCTCTTCATCTTCGTCATCCTCATCGTCTTCTTCATCTCTTTCTTTTTCATCTTCGCACTCAATCCCCGTTGCCTCGCTCGGAGCCTCTGCAATGTCTGACGTCAAGCAATACCTACCTAATCTGCCTTCTGCAGACTCGGATATTTATCGTCATGCTAGTGAAAGCTCTGGAGGGCCATCTCAATATCAAACCAACTGCTGCGCCTCTTCATCTTCTTCCTCGTCATCCTCTGGCATTACCAGCCTAGCTTTGGAGCAGAAAGACGGAGAGGCTCGAATAGAGACCCGCCACCGGCGCCGACGCCATGAAGCTGCATTGAACCTGACTGCATCTACAGGCGCTGGTCCTTTAACAATGACAGCTGGGAAAAAACCTGCTCCTAGCTCTCTGGATGTTAGTGGCCAAGCAAGTCGTGGTAATACTATGGACCATAATGTGACTTGCGGTTCAGATATAATCTCCTTCAGTCCCAACAGCGATAATCAGGTCATCGGCTCATCAGAGGATCGAAGTATATACAAATCGCGCCCAACTATTGAGGCTGATAGAACTTTATCACGAGGACATGGTGTAAAACCTATTAAAGACGGTGGAGAGTCTATGGCGAGTCCAGGACCAATCGAACCCAAAGAGAAAGAGCTTTCCGGAGACTTCTTGTTCGATGAGGAGATTGAATTGAATGCAAACGTCTTCACTTGTCCGGGCTCCCTTAATCTCGTGTTCAAATTACCGTCAGATGCAAGTCTACCTTTTTATTCATTTTAAACTATTGTTATAATTCAATATTTTCTGTCAAATAAACTTTCTCGCTATGCCCCTATAAACACAGATCTTGGCTATCCATCTTAAACACAGGATATACTGGTATATTGATCCTTTATATTGGTTTGCTTATTAGGTTCGTAAACTATTAGTTAATT